ACTGTTACAAAGAGAAACCCTATCTTGGAAAAAAACAAAAATAAAAACAAAAACAAGACAAAACAAGAGAGTAGAAACAAGAGTCAAGCTTTCAGTATTGCCTTGGATTTTCAAAGTCATACCCTGGTCCGCCATCAGAAAGGGAAGGGATTAGGAAGCTATTCTGTATTGTCACCACAGGTACAACTCTTAGACGCTCTGCAGTTTCTTGCCGGCTTACCAAAACAAGTATGGCAAAACAAACATGCAGAATAAAACAAACTGCTATTACCCATAATATTCCAGAAAATGCTCGGGCAATTAGGAAGCAGATGCTAAGACCTCCACCACAGTGAGCAGGTCCTTCAAGAACAGCCCTGGTAATGCTTGATTTTATTTCATGTCTGGCCGGTACAATCTGTACCAGGTCTGGTGACTTGCTGCATAAGGAGTGCTTAGCATCTTAGCTGTGCACTTAGGAAGGCCATTCACAGAGTCCATGACAGAACCAAACGAAGCTCACCCTGATGTTAGTGGATCTTTCCCAAGCTCATCACACTTAATCCCAGCAGTATGTGTTTGGGTATTCTTGAACCCTGGGGTCTTCCATTGGTCAATTAGGACTAATGATATTTAGCTTCCAGACTCTTGGGAATTAAGCTAAATATGATAATATGTAGGAGAGGAACAAGATGCGTGACAAAACTTCAGCTTTTAGTAAATGAGGCGTGAACCAAAAAAGTTACAGTGCACCACTGCCCAGCTTTGTAGACTCAGAATCCCCCAAGAGGAACAATATTGCTTATGGCTGCATGGTTTGGTGGCCTGGGTAGAAGTAGCCTTTGTACTGTCTACATGGAACTTAAAGAGTGTATATGCTCTGGAAAAATGACTGGAATATATGTGTATGTTATTTCAGTTTTTTAATTAAAATGCATATATTTTTATTCTCTGAGAATTTCATACATATATACAATGTATTTTGAATGTATTTTGATCATATTCACCTGGACTCCCTCTTCCCACCTCTTCCTAGATCCAACCCTACTCCCCTTACTCCTCCCAGTTTTGTGACCTCTTTTTTTGTTGTTGTTTTTTAAAATAACCAACCAATAATCAAATTTATGCTGCTCGTATTTTCACATACATGGGGCCATCCAGCGGATGACCAGACTCTTAGAGAAACTGACTTCCTAATAACTCCCCACTAAGAGGCGGAGCTTGGGCATGTCTTTCCCTTTCATGCTGGAATGTGGCCTGGCTTAATCTTGGGCAACGGCTCCTGTGAGTTTACTAGGAAAGCTTTTTTTTCCCTGGAAGACAGTGATTTGTTCTGGTCTTTCCTGACCTCTGGCTCTTGGAATTTTCTATCTCCTCTTCTGCGATGGTGCCTGAGCTTTGAGAGAATTGGAGATGATAAAGACTGCCCATCTGTAGCTGTGCACTCCACAGATCCTTCCTCTCTGGACTTGTACCATTATGAGTTTCTTCATCAACCCTTGTCCACCTCTCAAAGAAGCTTCTCTACTTCTTTTTTATTTTTAATGAGTTTTAAAAATCGTAATAAAAACCTACATGCATAAACAATGAAAGGAAGGTTCCTCTTGTTTTTTTTAATTTTATCTTAAAATACTCCTACAACTATATACAACTATAAATCCTTCCTTTTTCCTCTTTGCAATAATTGGGCCACATAATAGTTACCTAGGGTGTGTACCTTTCTTAATTCTTAACTCACTGTATCTGGAGTTGGAATTATTTTTATGTGTATAGAATTAATGACCTCTTGTTGACAGCTGGGTGTTTTGAACGTTTGCAGAGTTTACTCTGACAGCTGTCTATAGGTGACTATCTGCAGAAAAGACCCGTAGACATAGGTGGGGTCCACGGTTAGATGCATCCTCAAATGGCATCTCATCTTATACTTTTGACCAATCTGGTAGAACCACCCTTGCTGCCGACATGCCTACAGCACTGTGCCATCATCTCTTAGTTTTTGCCAATGAGGGCTGGGAAGTGAAGAGCTAATAACAGTGTGGGCCAGAAGTAATCCTGACAAGGAACGAGGGATGAAAGATGAACTAGAAACACTGAGAGAGGGGAAGCTAGTAGGTTTCCAACAGTGATGGCGTGCCAAGCAGTGACTGGACTAGACACCTCATGTTCTAACACTTATTCCACACCAAGCCGTAAATAGTCTCTTTAAAACCGCATGCATGTGTGCACACGTGTGTGCCTCAGTACATGTGGGACCTCAGCGGACAACCCTGGCTTGAGGCAGGTTCTCTTGTGCACTGCTGTGTATGCTATTCTATCTGACCCAGGAGCTTCTGGGGGTTCTCTTGTCTCTGCAGTTCTTCTCACTGTGGAGGTGCTAGAATTACAGATATGTACTACAGCGGCTGCCTTTGTGGGATTTGAACTCAGGTTCTTATGCTTTCCTGAGAAGTTCTTTCCGCACTGAACCCATCTCCTTAGCTCCCCCTAAGCCTGTTTACTTTGATGACCAGTGTCTGCCTCCAGTGCCTCCTGTGAACTTCTCAGTTTTCTACTGAGCAAACTAACACTCAAAGAGGCTGAGTGATTCATCCAAGGTCCAAAATCAACTGAAGTTGAGACAGGGGATCCAGTTGACAACTTCTCATCTGTTGGTTTAGCCTGGGATTTCGGTCTACACTGGAAAGGTCTCGGTAGGTTTGAATGCGTCCTCAGGATGAATTCCACCCCCAGTTGGCGCTTAATGATTTGGTTGAATCCAGCCATTTCCTGTACCACAGAGTTTCTTTGTATGGGAGTGGTTTTGTGATCGGGTCTCATGTAGCCCAGGCTCTCCTTGAATTCACCATGTGCCCAAGGCTGACTTGAACTCCTGATCTTCGCGTCTGCACTATGCCTGCTTATGGTCAGTTCTTCAGGGTTCTTCCCGAGGAAATATGTGTTCTTTCCACCAAACTACTATATTTACTTAAGGAGAACTTCATAAGCTATGTGTAATAAAGAGCTTAAGACTTTTGTTTAGAAAATTATGTAGTCACTCTTGAATTTGAACCTTAAAACTTCAACATTTCCCGGGTAGGCCCGGAAGTGGGGCTTTGACCCGTGACCTCTTCCTGCTCCTCTTGCTCAGGACCGCTGAGATGGAGGACTCCCTGGGATGTCCTTGGCAGTATATTTCACTTAGCTTTGAGTCATCTGCATCGGTCAGGGCCTTTTCCACTTGAATCAAAATTGTGAGGGTTTGGACTTTCTCTTGAGTTTTAATGATAGCACGATGTCCCAAGTTCCAAAAGGAGACAATGTCAAAGTGACACCGAACATGTGGTAGGGACATGACAAGGACACCAACCTTAGAACCACAGTTTATAATGAAAAAAAAAATAACCTGGGCCAATGACGTTTTAATTAAGAAAGCCCAAGGTCTACATTGTACCAGCTGGACAACATCCTCACAGTGGTCATTCCTCCAGTGCAGAGCCACGAGTGTCTAGAGAATTAGACATTTATTGTATTTGCCTGAAGCAAGGAAAGTGTCACTGTTAAAGAATGGAATATGAGCGCTGCAGTGGTCTTAGAAATTAACTAGCCCAAAATCCAATTTTCCAGAAAAGAAAACACAGGCTCAAGAGTACATGCTGTTCAGCTGGGGTGTCAGCTGAAATGAGGCATGAGGCACGAGCTTTGCCTGTGTGGCTGGGTGATCCACAGCATGTATGCATATGTGGGTGCGGGTGCGTTTGCACACATGCATATAGGTATGCAAAGATGTCAGAATCGACCTTCCTCGATTGTTCTGTACTTCAAATTTATTCATGTGTGATTGTATGTAGGGGGTGAGGAATCCTTGTGTGTCACAGTGTGTGTAGGGATACCAGAGGACAAATTTGCAGACTTATTTCTTTTCTTTCACCATTATGTGGGTTCTAGGTATCAAATTCCAGTAGCTGAGCTTGCAAGCCAAGTGTCTTCAGTGAGTCTTCTGTGTCCATCTCCACTTTATTTGAGACAGGGTCTCTTAGGGAACCTGGAGTTCGCTGATCAGCTAGATTAGCTGCCTAGTTGGCCAGCAGGTCTCAGGGATCCTCCTGTCTCTGCATTCCTTTCCTGAGCAGCTGGGTTATACATACATACACACACACACACACACACACACACACACACACACATATATACATATATATACATATATATGTATGTGTATATATATATACACATACATATATATGTATATGCCACCTCGCTTGTACTTTGGTGCTGGGACTCCAGATACATGTCCTCATGTTATGTGTCAAGCACTTTACCAACCCCTTCGCTACGAGAACACAGTTGTTGAATGTTTTCTTCATTTCTTTATCAAAGTGGGCTGGGCATACTTTCATACCTACTGGTTTTAACTGAGAAAGAATAAAAAGAAAATGAAATCATGTTAAGAGACGAGAATAAAGTAAAGTAGATCAAAGCATTTATCCCCAAAAGCTGAACTCAAAGATTGTTCTAGAAGTTACTGCTTCACTTGAGGGCTGCGCCTCCTGTCTCCCGATCTAAGTAGTGCTGCTATCTCTGAGAATAATCAGCTGCGTAAGACATGTTTCAAATTAACTGTGTAAATAACCCATCAATGCCCTTCACTGTCCGTCTCTCGGCAAACAGAATGCAATGTGTTTTTATAACTAGAGAGCTATTTGACTTTTTCCCTCTTCCCCACATTTGGATATAGATTGATATAGCATTACTTAAAATGCTGCATATAAATTAAACATTAAACAGGCGATATGGAGAAGCTAACTGCCCCAATAGAATCTTTAGTTCTGAAGTCACTGCCTGAAGGACACTCATATTTCATATCGGGTGTCCTTCTTTTGAAAAGTGACCACCAAGGTTCAAGTGACATTTAAGTATATCAGGCGGCTGCATAATTTATGGGCCTTTTTGTTTTGTGTTCTTACTTTAATGAAAAACAAGGAAGCAGGCTGTCCTCAGACATTAACATGTTCCCCTGTGCTTTCCCCCGCCTGTCTCTGCAGATTGGTGCACTGAAGGACTACTATCACTTCTACCATAGTAGGACCTTTAAAAGGTCTGTTCTCTCGAGCAGAGGAACCCACAGTTTCATCTCCATGGAACCAAAGGTAAGGAAAACCAATTGGATGGGGACCAAGAAGTCATGCTCCTGCATTTTTCATTGGTGATAACACAAGGAGCCCGTGACCGAGCCCGAGGCTCCTGTTTCTAATCTGTCACAGTATCCTTTAGTTCAGTATCTGCTCTCAGGCAACGCTATTCAATGGCTAGATTTTTATTGACCCGCCACTGGCATCCCACGTGTGGAGCAGCTCAGGGTTAGCCCTAGATAGGAGCTTTTGTGCAGGATGGCGAGAGGCTGCCGCTTGAGAACACAGATCAATTAAACGTGTCTAAAGGAAGAACATGTCATCTCTCATTTGCATGCAGCTTGAGGTCCTGTGAGCTCCATGGGTGACTTCTCCCTGCTAGTACTCTTAAGTCAAAATTGGCTTACAGTAAGACTTGCTGTTTTCTTTGGCATGGATAGTCTTAAAGCAGACCGTGTCTGGGAGAGAAAGCATGCTTGAACCCTTAGGAGCAAAAGCCAGCTCCCACTTTTAGGAGGGTCGTCTAATATCTTTCTTGCACCTGGTCCTTTTTGAGCTGTATAGCAGTGTTCTCCTGGGAGACCCTAGCAGGAAGTAGTGACAAATACAGGTCTCCCATGTGATGACATGAGGTGGTTTGGCATGAGATGTGGGAACTGAGAAATATTGGGTACAAACTAAGAGAAGACAACCAAAACACTGACATCAAGTTAAATAGCTGTCTTTATTAATTAAGTAGGAGGCAGGAACTGACCTCCGTAGAATTAGCTGTCCCAGACGTGCTAAATAACGGAGAAGGAGAGGCAGCTCTGCCAACTTGCCTTAGGCCCTTTGTGGGTTCCTGGTATATAATTCAATGCTTAGGTTATTTCGCCTCTTCCCCTCCATTATGATTTTGGTCTGCCATAGAACTCATTCTCAAATAGATTGAGAATCAGGCCCCTACCAGCAAGCATAACAGCCTCAGGTAGAGGCGCTTGGAAAATTACATTCCTTGTTAAAAATGCTCTTATGTGAATTTTTGTGCAATTCGGTGTGTGGTTTGGAGTCTTACCTTCTGTTATGGGCCATGGTTTACTCCGTGTCTCTTTCAAGGTTTTTGCAGCTATGAAGAGACGCCATGACCATGGTAACTCTTAGGAAAGAAAGCATTTAGTTGGAGCTGGCTTACAGTTTAGAGGTTTAGTTCACTATCTTCATGGTGTGAAACATGGGAGCATGCAGGCAGACCTAATGCTGGAGAGAGAGCTGCAAGTTCTATATCCAGACAGGCTGGCAGCAAGAAGAGAGAGAGTGACACTGGGCTTGACTTCAGCATTTGAAACCCCAAGGCCCACTCCTTACTGACGCACTTCCTTAAACAAGGCCACACCTAGTCCAATAAGGCCGCACATTGCAATAGTGCCACTCCCTGTGCATCTATGGGGAGCATTTTTTATCAAATCACCACACTTTGTTTAATTTTTCTTTGAAATGTTACCTTAGAATATTATAGCACGGTGTTCTTGACTGAAATTATATCTCGGGTCATTAGAAAAATCACATTTCTTTCAGGCTCTTCCTTTTGTGTGGCTTAGGGACATACAGTGGCTTGTGGATAATATGTACATATTTATTTCTATTTAGACTATTTTTCTAGAAAAGTAGTATGTTGGGACAGTTTGAATTTGCTACATTTTAAAAGCAAAGTCACGGTTCTTTCGTCTGTTAAGCAACTCTCTTGAACTTTGGCAATTAGCATGAATTTTCTTTCAAACCTCATGTGCAAAGTCCACATGCGTTTGAAAAGTTGGCTTGAGAATTAGGAACGGAATGTGACGAGACTTTGTTTACCTGAGGAAGGATTTACCAAATAAGGAGCAATTCCCATTCTTAATGTTGTCTTAGGCATCATGCTTTTCTTATCTCTGTGTATGAAATAGTTTGTGTATGATCTAGCAGAAACCTTGGATCCTGGGTTTCTGAATGCCACCCTTCTCCCCCAGTCCAGGGGTGCAAGGCCAGTTAAGTCAGCCCAGAGGCAGCTGTGCCATTCTTCTCTTCCTCAGTTAAAGGAATAACCAAGAGTAGGGCTAGGCCTGAGTCTCCACCCCTGCAATTCTGCCCATGACTGCCACTCATACCACCTCAAAAGTGGGGTTCCCTACCCTTTCCATTGTGTTTCTGTTGCCCGTTGGTTCGCTGACTATTTCCTGAGCCTCAGTATCTCCAGCCCCATGTCAGGCTCCCGGATATCTGTTGGTGTCTCCCAGAGAAGCTTTCAGGGACCCTCAGGATAGGCTGGTGCTTCTTAGGGTTGGGGTTCATGGGGAAAGGAGATAGAAGGCATTGTTTGCCCCCTCCAACCCCCTCAACAAGCTTAGACTCAATTGGCAATTTTTTTTCTCTTCAAAGTTAACTAAACAAACAAAACAAAACTCACCAACCTTTTTAAAATTTAGCATGAAGCTGTAAACATAGCTTTCCAGATGCCCCATGCTTTCCACTCTCCCTTCTCTTCTTATCTGTCGACATACGTGCACATTCATACACATACACGTGGATATTTGCAGACCGAGTTACAAATACATTCCTTCCTGAGGTCTGTGTTTTTTTTTTTTTCTCCCAACAGCGTTAAATAAGTAAACAAATACCTCCACTATGCATTCATTAAACATGAGGGTATTCTACACTGTAATCATAAATGCAATAATGGAAGTCTGGATATCAACATTGACTCGGTGTTGCTATCTAATATACAGACTTTACATTCCCGCTGCTTTTTTCTGTGGTCCAGGATCACCTTGAGGTGTCATATCTCCCAAGTCCTCTTAACTCTGTTACACTCTTCAGCTTTCTCTGCTTTAGAAGGGTATACGCCAATAGCATAATGCAGTACATTTTATGTCGGCTGTGCTCTCCTTATTTATTTATTTATTTATTTAAGATTTCTGCCTCCTCCCTGCCACCACCTCCCATTTCCCTCCCCCTCCCCCAGTCAAGTTCCCCTCCCTCATCAGCCTGAAGAGCAGTCAGGGTTCCCTGCCCTGTGGGAAGTCCAAGGACCTCCCACCTCCATCCAGGTCTAGTAAGGTAAGCATCCAAACAGCTTGGCTCCCACAAAGCCAGTACGTGCAGTAGGATCAAAACCCAGTGCCATTGTTCTTGACTTCTCAGCAGTCCTCATTGTCCGCTATGTTCAGCGAGTCCGGTTTTATCCCATGCTTTTTTAGACCCAGTCCAGCCGGCCTTGGTGCGTTCCTGATAGAACATCCCCATTGTCTCTGTGTGTGGGTGCACCCCTCCGGTCCTGAGTTCCTTGCTCGTGCTCTCTCTCCTTCTGCTCCTGATTTGGACCTTGGGATTTCAGTCCGGTGCTCCAATGTAGGACTCTGTCTCCTTTCATCAGATTCAAGTTCCATAGGAATGCTTTTGGCCCCATGGTGCTGGGTGCAGATGCCTCTTTCTCTGCACCATCTAGGAAGGCTCAGGATGCTCGCTTGTTCTATTGTAGACATTGATTTTAACTCCGTTGTTAGGGTCGGCTTTCTACTTTAAAACTTCTGTTTTCACTCAGTTTGGACATGCCTGATAATCTGAGCACGTAGGAAGCTGAGGCAGGAGGATCATGATTTCGAGGACAGCCTTGGATACATAGTATGATTCTGCCTTAAAATAAGTAAATAAATATAGCTGTTTTTCCTTTTTTTTCCTTTTTTAAATTTTCCTGACTGCTTTTTTTTTTAAATTATTTTTATTGAGCTATACATTTTTCCTGTTTCCCTCCCTTCCTCCCCTTTCTCTTTCTACCCTTTCCTGTGACTCTCCACACACACACCCAATTTACTCAGGAGATCTTGTCTTTTTCTCCTTCTAATATAATGCTTTTATTTCCTTAATCAGTAAGTACTTAATAAAATTTTTGTCACATTTAAAGACAAGCACATACAATTTACTTAGCACATGGTTTTGAAGACCAAATAAGCATTCCAGTGTCATCTCTGATAAGGGTTCCCCATGGTTGTGTCACTTTGTTGATGGCATGATGGTGAGAGTGTGTTTGAGAGATTTTTCAGGGCAAGACAGGAAGCCAGGGAGCAGGCCAGGCAGGCTCTTTTAAAATAACACTCCTGTGGGACTTACTAATCTCTGCCAGAAAACCCTCCCCGCTTAAACATCCCCTTAGTGACCAGACTTTCAGTTCATGTACCATTTGGAACAAACCGCACCCAAGCCATAGCACTACGCAAATTTCCACATGCGTCTACTCTCTCCATTCTGAGTTGGCCTTCTGAAAGTATAGCATGAATGAGCCGGTTATGTCAGTCACTTCTTAAAGTCTGATGTGTGCTTGATCCCAGAGCAGAGTCATATCTGTGGCATGGGACCATGGGAAATGGCTTTGTGGATGACACTGGCGATGCTAACTTCATGTTACTTTTAACTACCATCTTCTCAAGAAAGGGAAAATAGCAGGCTGAATTGCAGGGCGCGCACACACACCAAACAGACTGGCTTTGTTTGCTCTACTAAATTGCATGGCTACTTATGACTTTACTTAGGGGGTTCCAAAGAAGGAAAGACCAAAGCAGCAACCTGATGAGAATAAGCCTCTCAATGCTAAGGAAGTTGTGTGGTCAGCCGGGGCACATGAGCCCTGAGAGCAAGAATAGCCTTGATTCCCACATGTTAACTTTACGTTGTGATTATCATTTTAAATGACAGGGACTCGCAGACTTCTGAGAGGACAGCACTTGTATAATCATAACCAGCCTGACAGGCTGACAGGAAGCACTGGCACATTTTACAGCAGTGGGGTAGAAAGTCTTCCATTCTTCTGTGTGTGTGTGTGTGTGTGTGTGTGTGTGTGTGTTATGCACACATGTGTGAAGTCATGTTAACCCTGCTTGTGTATGTAGAAGTCACAAGCCAATGTGCTGTCTTCCTCTCTTCCTTTCTTCCTTCGTTAGTTTTTGAGATAGTATCTCATTGAACCCAGAGCTTGGTTTTTGTTTTGTGTTTTGTTTTTGTTAGATTTC